CCCCCGGCCCCGGCAGCCCAGATGAGCCATGCCCCAGGTTCCCCCCCCCCTACTTGCAGCCCAACTGAGCCACATGCTGGCTCCTGGGCCCCCACCATAGTTACCTCTAAGGTGTGCGCCTGCGTGGGCATGCACCAATAACTTGAGTCCCGCCCACCTTCTTATCAGGGTTGTACAATGATTGCTCAACTGCTCATTTGGCGGAGTTTTGTGGCAAGAGTCTTCCCTGCCCCAAGAGCAGCTGGGCAGCCATCATATAGCCCTGGCCCTAACATCAGCCCTTCCCCAGGGCTGGAGCTGCATCCAGAGCGGGCTGTATGGCGGGGCCAAGGCCAGAGCTGCCACATGGTGGGCTCTTGCTGCTGGGGCTGGAGCTGCATAGTGGGGTCAGCTGAAGCAGAGCTGCATGGCTGGCGGTTGCCCTGTCATAGGGCTGTCCTTAGAGGTGGGCATATTGGGCCCATGCCCAGGGCACCACAGCCAGAAGAGTGAGGGGCAACTGGGTATGGGTGTTGCTGGGCAAAGTGGGTGGCGGGTACTGGGCTGGGGGTTGGGGACACAGCTGGGAGAAAAGTGTAGGAGTTGGGATGAAGGGGGCACTGCAGAAGTTAGAGGCAAAGCGGGCACAATGCAGGGTTAGTGGTAAAGCGTGCACAGAATGGGGCTGTAGGGGTTGGGGAGCCCATGGATGCAGGAACAGTGGGAGCAAGGCTGGGTGGAAGTGAGACTGGGTGCCAAGCTGGGTGGTTTTTCAGGGTGGGTGAGTGAAGGGTCATTATCCTTTGTTTTGGTATTTTTTCTTACATAATTTAAATGATCTCTCTCTATAAAAAGCTTTTCCTGTGGGATGACAGAGTGATATGAAATGGGCGGGGGAGTCAGAGGCTTAGTGCGCCCACTGAACCAGTGTCCGCCTGCCTCTGGGCCCTGCCCCTAGCCTGCCCTGCCCACGCCCCTGTCGCATGGCTTTCCTGTGTGTGCCTGACTGAGCCTGGGCCACACTCTCCTGGGCCCGCTGTGAGCGGGGCAAGTCTGAGCTCTGAGGCTCTCCAGAGCCTCCACTCTGCACTCCAGGATCCCTGGACTTGCCATGGAGCAAAGCTGCCCCAACACCTCATTCAGAAAGGCTGGGTTGTGGGAGGGCTGTGGTTCATGCTGCTGGGGCTGGGCTGCCCGGCCTGGTGGTGCTCTTGGGGGGAAGGGGTGCATGCAGCTCAATGAATTCATGGGAGGGGACAGGGTGTGTGTAGGGAGGGAGGAAGGGGGATAGAGTGATATGGGAATGGTGGGGTGAGGGGGATATAGGAATGGATGCAGGGGGATGGACAGTGTGAAGGTTGGGGAGGGGTTAGGGAAGGATGGGGGTGTAGGAATGGAGGAAGGAGGTGGGGGTAGGGATAGGCAGTGTGTGGGGGAGGGGTTAGGAAAGATGGTTAGTGTAGGAATGGAGGCAGGGGGATGAAATTGAAGTACAGGTGTGGGGGGGGAGGGGCGGGGACAAGAGCTGGGACTGGCCTGGCCTTGGCCTTGGCCAGTGGGTTGGGGGATAGCTAGAGCTGGCCTGGCCTTGGCCTGGTGGCTGGGGGAGAGCAGGGAGATCTGGGGCTTACTACCGCCAGAGAGAGGGGAGTTGGCAAGCATAGCGAGCAGGGGGCACAGTCCCCTTGAGTGAGTGAGTGTGTGTGTGTGTGTGTGTGTGTGTGTAATTTATACTAATATGCATATTTTATATTTATATAAAATAAATATACATTTATTGGCTGCCATAGTGGCACACATCCAAATAAGAGCACATCACGTCAATATTGGTGCACAAGACAAACTCACTCTACTCATGGATGGAAAATCTTAGAGGGAATACTGGCCCCCACCTTCTGCAGTGTGCCAGGACTCTCATCCTGGAACATCTGTGGTTATGCCAGATCATGGATGTTGCCGGAACAGAGAATCCCAGATTTTAGAGGTGCAACCTGTAATAAGATAAAAAAGGAAAGAAAGCTGTGTTGGTGGCATAGCCTTTGATCTGGAATAATCTAGGTTTTATTATAGAAAGCACAGTACTTAAACGTAAAAACTACTGAACTACTTTAAAAAGGATTAAAACTCAAGTAGACTCATGCATTCACTTGAAGTGTTCACTAATTTTTATCTTAAAGTTTGTGTACTAGTCTCTTGAATAAATGTTACCAGAAGTCTACGTCAGTTAAATTAAAAAAAAAAAAACTACTATATATTTTAGAGAGTTTGTCTGTTTGATCAAGAACTGCTAAATGGTATGAACTACGACCGTCAAATTCAGTATACAGCTTTCTCTTTTATAATTAAATTAAGGGAAGAGTCTGGTTGTGCCAGAAAAACAGGATGTGCCTGGAAAGGGGTTACTTCTCATAAAAGCAAATAGAAGAGAGACATGATCACTAAGTCTTTAAAACTTACATAACTGAGCAAATGTTGAACGAGTCTGAACCAAGATGAGCCAGAAAAATAGGATGAACCTGAAATAGGATTGCATCTTAATGAACTTTACAGAAAAGAGTTAAAATGGAAAAATTTGGAATAGTGCTCTGTTTTGGCACAGCTAACTCAGTACTTAAGATTTGAAAGACAGAAGAAAATGTTGTTTAAAACCAAATTGGCTATAGACCTTTTCTGTTAAACTCTTGTCATTTACTATGTTTTATAGGGATGATGTTAAAAATGCACTTGATGGAATTCCCATTTTAAAAAATATACTAAAAATTATATGGAAAAATGTTAATACTCCTTCCCCCCCCTTAAGAAATCCAAAATAAAAATTAACTTCATAATCTAACACTATAATTTTGAAAAATACAATCATTTAAATAAAGCACGTACATTTTCCTTTTATTAAAAAAAATCTTAATTGAGTTAAGGACCTGAGCAACACCAGGTAAATCTGTTAGATTAGAATAATTTCTAGCCAAAAATGGAGAGTTGTACAGTCATTCATCAGATTACGTAGATGGTGAAACAATAAAAATGATTATCAAAGGTTAACATCAATTTTGGATTGATTAAAGAACAGAATCAGCCTTAGGAGAATTTGAGAAATGAACCTCACGTGTCTGTATTAGGCCATAGTCACATATATAATCAAGGTGTTAAGCCTTTTTAATCCATGCTTATAACCTTGATTTCCACGCTTTATATAAAGAAAAGATGGGGACTCTTATACCCAGGTCTCGCCAAGCGGCAGCGAACCCCGCTCACCAGCCACGCAGTTCTGCATTCTGCGCATGCGCAGATCGCTCTGCGCTGGCTCTTCTAGGGTGTAATCTACTCACCACGGGCAAGTAGATTACATTATTTGTCGAGCCCTGCTTATACCTATTCTAGTATATTTTTTGCTTGATCACCATGGTCTTTACAATTCACTTCTACACAAATCAAAAGTTAATGCGACTCATCCCATTCTTTGTCATAAGGCAGTCTAAGGATAAAACTTTGCAAATACATGACTGTTTCCATTTTGTGTTTATTTTAATTGATAGAAATTCTTGTGTTTTTTAGGATGAAGTACGAGAAAATATTTCACGGGGAATGGCAATTTTAGGTCCTACTTTTACTCTCGATGCACTTGTTGAGTGTCTTGTGATTGGTGTTGGTACCATGTCAGGTGAGTAATACAGTCAGAAGTCTAATTATCCTAAGCTAAGAAAAAAATCACAGATAAGATGTTTATTATCCCTAGGCCTGCTAACAATAGATGTTCTAAGTGGTCATATTTCAGTGTCTTGGCACAACTAGGGAGCTATAGTCATTGCTTATATTTTGAATTGCTTTTTGTTACGTTAAAACAGATGTGAATAGTCTTGTAGGTGCTAATGGGCATGAAAGAAAATGGTGATTTCCATTGAATTCTTGTAGGACACTGTATTGGTTCAAGAATTTCCTGCACAGATCATTTTACACGGTTGGAGTCTTTATTTTGTACAATATTTATTTTGTACACTCATTCCCTACCAATTTGGAATGAACTGAACTCTCCCACTATAATGAAACTTATAAAATCTATTAAACATGAAATAACAATCATTATGCCTCCTTCATATTGTTTTAAAAATTAATGTTTCTAAAATGAATTACATGTTAAGGGTTATTAATCTGTTTTATCTACAAAAACCAAACTTTTATTTACATTTTTCTTTTCTCCATTTTTAATCTTCATTGGCTCTGTAGTAGATCTTTGTTTTAGGAAATGTAAGTACTAAGCATTTTTATGAAGAACTTTTCAGATGTAAATAAGTCGGCTGTTTTAAAAATAAACTTGAAGTCATAAATCTACAATAAGGCTTAAATGCATTTTTTCATTTTTCAGATTTAGCTGTCTTGCATATTGGCATTGAATGCCACTCACAAAAGTTTAAAGATGCCCTGCTAAGGAATCTTTCTTTTTTTAAAAAAATAGGTTTGCACACTTTTGCTACTTTATGATGTATAAACAAGGCCTGAAACTCAGGCTTGTTCACTTCACCTTTCATGGTTTTGCTGTGAGACTGACTGGATATTTCAGAGGATTTATTTTTTTAGCTTTTTCTATCTTAATCAAAGAATTTAAGATGCTGAATCTGTAACTTGAACATAAGAATGGACGTACTGGGTCAGACCAAAGGTCCATCTAGCCCAGTATCCTGTCTGCCGACAATGGCCAGCACCAGGTGCCCCAGAGAGGGTGGACTGAAGACAAAGATCAAGCGATTTGTCTCCTGCCATCCCTCTCCAGCCTCTGACAAACAGAGGCCAGGGATACCAGTTCTATCACCTGGCTAATAGCCTTTTATGAACCTAACCTCCAGGAAATTATCTAGCTTTTCTTTAAACTCTGTTATAGTCCTAGCCTTCACAGTCTCCTCTGGCAAGGACTTCCACAGGTTGACTACACGCTGTGTGAAGAAGAACTTTCTATCATATTCCTCCTCAGTCTCCTCTTTTCTAAGGGAACTAATAAATAACTTTTCTTTATCCGCCCTCTCCACACCACTCATGATTTTATAGACCTCTATCATATCCCCCCTCAGTCCCAGTCTCTTTAGCCTCTCCTTATATGGGACCCGTTCCAAACCCCTAATCATTTTAGTTGCCCTTTTCTGAACCCTTTCCAAGGCCAAAATATCTTTTTTGAGGTGAGGAGACCACCTCAGACTTGGATATCGGATATCTTTTGTCCTAAATGTCAGTTGTTTATGTTAACAAAAACATTGTTTAACAGTCTGACTAAAAAGTCCTTCCACTCAGTTTCTCAGGTCTCATTCCTATTGTTGATATTTCATTAGTTCTTCAGTCCTTACAGAGTCTTGTAGGCGAGACAAGATCTGAATTTCTAATGTAAAACCAATTTTGGTGTCATGAGTTATAAAAACCTTTCCAAATATTTTCATGCGTCAGAAAAGTGCACAAGCCCCCCATTCTTTATTGGGCCAACTTCTGTTGCTTTGAGAGAGAGAGTTTTGAGCTTACATAGAGCTAACCTTTATCATCTTTAACCTTGAAAACATATTTTAGCCTGCCTACCTGAGCCCCCTATTTCTTACTTTCAAATTAATGTTATTTAAATATATCTTTGGGATACATTTAACTTTTAATTATAGAAATGCTCATAGGGCAGACTGAAAATGTTTAATATTTAACATATTCAACATAATATATTCAACTTTTTTTTTTTAGTTTATATAGCAAAATTCAGAAGAAAGTTAACTGCTCATATGCCCAATGGTTACAAGAGAACAGCCACAGTTTAGTACTCTTCCTGATTCCTTAAATACATTATTGATTACCTCTGCTCAAATATCACAGATTAAAGTTTACTTTGAAATCAACTTCTGGCAGACAGATGAATGAGGAGTCACAATCTGAAACCTGCAAATTTAGCACCTCAATTTAGCACTGAGAGCTTTAAAATACTAATGCAATTTTACATAAGATGATTGTATTATTCTTAAAGGTACACCATCTAGTAGTCTGATACTAAGTTCATTGCCTTCAAAGTTCCTTTAAAAAAGCGTTTTGAATGGAGACTTGCCCCAAAACACAGATTTTTCTCCTTTTGACCTTGAGAAAATTAGGAAACAGAAAGAACTTTGCATAATCATTGATCTGACATACACAAAACACTATTATGGACCACAGGAGCTCCCAAAGACACTATGCTACTCCAAGATCTTGACAGTTGGACATGAACTGGGTAGGTACTAGTCTTGCATTTGTAGATCCTAATCTTGCATTTATATTTCAACATCGATACATTACAAATATTTAATGATGTTGAAATACAATGCAAGATCACTCTTGATTTAACGTGCACTCTTTTCACAATCTAGGGAAATCATGTGCTGCTTTGGTTGCATGTCTGTTCTCGCCAACTACTTTGTCTTCATGACTTTCTTTCCTGCTTGTGTGTCCTTGGTATTAGAGGTAAGACTAGTTTCAAGATGGCATCAGTAGTATACAATATGCTGGTATCCTGTTTTTCTTTATGGCACTTAAGTTTAGCCTTCTCAATGTATATCCTATTACACATTTATTTCTTTGTTCAAGAGGAGTTATAATCAAAGTTATAACTTGCAGGGATATGTCAGTCTGAAGTAGTTTTTAGATGTTGAAAATAATAATGGTAAATAATTTTCCAGTTATCAATATTTAAAACGTATAGTTTCTTGTGTGTGTTCAGTTTTATTTTTCTGTAATAGCATCTACACAAATAACACCTCTAATGAACTTGAGTAAATTGTGTGCTTGGAGGAATACATTTCTCATAAAAACAGAAAGAAATTATGTCCTGAGTAATATCCCCTTTTACAACTAACTTTGGAATAGAACAGAGCAAAAAATTACATTTTTTTTTGTACGTCAATTCCAGTAATTAACTAATCATTCCCTTCTCTGATGTACAAACTAAACTTATCATTGTGCTACCATTGTAATACCTTTTCATCATAAAGAAAGCATATTATGTAAGATGTAAGCACAAAATGTAAGAAGGTTTTTTTCTTTTTAATATAGGAGTGCGACAACTTGAAATCATGTGCTGCTTTGGTTGCATGTCTGTTCTCGCCAACTACTTTGTCTTCATGACTTTCTTTCCTGCTTGTGTGTCCTTGGTATTAGAGGTAAGACTAGTTTCAAGATGGCATCAGTAGTATACAATATGCTGGTATCCTGTTTTTCTTTATGGCACTTAAGTTTAGCCTTCTCAATGTATATCCTATTACACATTTATTTCTTTGTTCAAGAGGAGTTATAATCAAAGTTATAACTTGCAGGGATATGTCAGTCTGAAGTAGTTTTTAGATGTTGAAAATAATAATGGTAAATAATTTTCCAGTTATCAATATTTAAAACGTATAGTTTCTTGTGTGTGTTCAGTTTTATTTTTCTGTAATAGCATCTACACAAATAACACCTCTAATGAACTTGAGTAAATTGTGTGCTTGGAGGAATACATTTCTCATAAAAACAGAAAGAAATTATGTCCTGAGTAATATCCCCTTTTACAACTAACTTTGGAATAGAACAGAGCAAAAAATTACATTTTTTTTTGTACGTCAATTCCAGTAATTAACTAATCATTCCCTTCTCTGATGTACAAACTAAACTTATCATTGTGCTACCATTGTAATACCTTTTCATCATAAAGAAAGCATATTATGTAAGATGTAAGCACAAAATGTAAGAAGGTTTTTTTCTTTTTAATATAGGAGTGCGACAACTTGAAATCATGTGCTGCTTTGGTTGCATGTCTGTTCTCGCCAACTACTTTGTCTTCATGACTTTCTTTCCTGCTTGTGTGTCCTTGGTATTAGAGGTAAGACTAGTTTCAAGATGGCATCAGTAGTATACAATATGCTGGTATCCTGTTTTTCTTTATGGCACTTAAGTTTAGCCTTCTCAATGTATATCCTATTACACATTTATTTCTTTGTTCAAGAGGAGTTATAATCAAAGTTATAACTTGCAGGGATATGTCAGTCTGAAGTAGTTTTTAGATGTTGAAAATAATAATGGTAAATAATTTTCCAGTTATCAATATTTAAAACGTATAGTTTCTTGTGTGTGTTCAGTTTTATTTTTCTGTAATAGCATCTACACAAATAACACCTCTAATGAACTTGAGTAAATTGTGTGCTTGGAGGAATACATTTCTCATAAAAACAGAAAGAAATTATGTCCTGGGTAATATCCCCTTTTACAACTAACTTTGGAATAGAACAGAGCAAAAAATTACATTTTTTTTTTTGTACGTCAATTCCAGTAATTAACATGTAAGGTCAGCATTCCAGTCTTTAGCTTTCAGTATGATGTTCAAGCCTAATCTAATGCTAGGAAACACTGAGGATCTTATTTTGAGGGCTGCATCATTGTGGATTTCAATCTTGATTTCTGGATATTTGATATACAGGCACTATGACTATATTAGTCAAGATTTGTTGTCTAAAGTTACATTTCTATATTTGTATTTAAGCACCTAAATGGTATGAATTTTATTTTGTTCACTTCAAAACTGCTGGACAGTTCTCACTTGCTCAGATAGACTTCAGTGAGATTTGTGGATGCTCAGCTTCTTTGAAAATTGAGCCACATCCAGGCACCAATTCAGGAAAGGCCATGCATAAATATTTTCCTGAATAAAGAGGTTTTTGTGAATCAAGGTCCTAAGTCATTTTATGGATTTTAAAGGCTTATCTTTAGACACACAAGTTTGAGCATTTTCGGCTGAGAGCCTCCCGTTTGGGTCTTACATTTTTTCTTGGTTCCTGTATTGCCATTAGGTGTTCAGTGTGGAATTAAGTGGCTCAACTGTAACAACAGACTTGTGTGCAGAAGAAAGTTCAGGCAGTTTAACTAAAGACATGATTTTTTAAATGACTTAGCAAAAGGCTGCAGGGATATTCTTATTTTGGCTTAGGGTAAGATGATCCGGAGTCATTGTAAGCTAAACCAGAACAAGCCAGTTTTAAAGCAAAAAGAAAGTGCCTACATAGGAGGCTGGACTGATTTTTAAAACTGACTTAGATTAAACTGGTACCACTTTTTTGTTTGACACTCTTAATCAAATTCTCAAATGAGATAGTAGTAAAAAGCTCACTTGCGTCTTTTTTTTTTTTAATTATAGCTTTCTCGTGAAAGTCGTGAAGGGCGTCCCATATGGCAGCTTAGTCATTTTGCCCGTGTTTTGGAGGAAGAAGAGAACAAACCAAACCCTGTAACTCAGAGGGTTAAAATGATTATGGTATGTGGTTTTTTCCCCCCCTTTCTTTAGAGAAAAGCATCCATATAATTAAATGTATGCATAAATATTTCTCAGTTACTGTAAAGTTACATTCCCTGCATGTTATCAATGCCATCCTTTAGATTTAAGCGTAAGAGGACGTGGAAACGTTTAAAAAAAACAAAACAAAAACAAAACTTTTATGCTGCTTGTTATTAGAGTTGCTGGTTACTTACAGCTGGAAACAGGTTTGACTGTTCTCTCTCCTTTTTAAGTCTTTAGGTCTGGTTCTTGTTCATGCTCACAGTCGCTGGATAGCAGAACCATCTGCTCAGAACAGTACATCAGAAAATACAATGGGAATGGATGAAAATGCACCAAAGAGAATTGAACCTAATGTTTCTCTATGGCAATTTTATCTTTCTCGGTGAGAGATTGTCTTAGTCCTTCTAAGTATTCTGTTGCATCTTCCATGTGTTGGGACTTATTCTATTGTGCTTTCAGGTTACTTTTTAAGGCAGAGCTTTTTTCAGAGCAGCCGTAAATCCATTAGCTCTGGTCACTATAAGATTCTTTTTTCAGAGCAGCTGTAAATCCATTAGCTCTGGTCACTATAAGATTCCCTACATATGGAGTTCCCTCTGAGACATAGCATTCCATCGTCATTCCTGTATAAGATCCACAGTCTAGCTGTGGTAAAAAGAGTGTAGTCAGGGCTAGCAATCCTCATATGCCATAACTTTACTTTAGGTCAATGGTTCTCAGTGTGGTTTGCGGATCACTAGTGATCCATGGCTGTCTCCCAGGTGGTCCATTGCGGGAGCTCACCCTTCCTCCTCCATGCAGAGGGGAGCCCGTGCTGCTGCTGCTGCAGCCTCGTGGTTAGCGCGCAGCCGTGAGACTGCAACAGCAGCTCCGGCCAGCAGCTGGGGAGATGAAGAAGGCAAACTCACCCCCATATTCCTGCGGGCCATGAAGCTTCACATGGAGGAGGGCTGCCACCATAGTAAAATTGGCACTCCCTCAGTTGTTCCTGTGAGGCAGGCAGCAGTTTGGGCTGTGCAAGGCGTGGCCGGTCAGGCTCTTGTGGTGCATGAGCAGCCAGTGCCCCCCCACTTCCCTGGCAGCAGGTTGAGTTGTGCCATGCCTGTCAGCGGTGAGAGGAAGCAACTCTGGGACTGAGGATCCTGTACATGTTGGAGGCAGGGGGGATTCAAGGCCTTTCTGGGCTTTTCACCAAAATTCTCTCTAAGCTGCATTCCCAGTAGTTCAAAGCTCTGAGCAGGTAGAGAGATCAGCTGATTGGCAGAATGGGCCTCTGTAAACAGCAGCTAAATGCTGCCTGCCCCTTTGTTTGAAATGGAAGACAATCAGCAGATAAGCAGGGAATGAATGGCTGGGAGGAGGGAGTAATTCATTGTCTTGAGGGGAAAATTCCATCTGCTAGAGGAGACAGGCAGAAACCCAGCAGTCTCTTCAATCCTCCTCATTTGGGCAGGGGGAGGTAAAGGGACTGACTGATTGCATAGGGTAGATGGGGAGTGCTGACATCTGTGTAGTGAGATGGAGTCGGGGGGGCAGTTTGTTCGGGGTTTGTTAGGCTGGTTTTGGGGGAGGAGGATGGGGGAAAGCCAGGTGTGTGTGTGTGTGTGTGTGTTTGTGCTAGGACATTTGCATGTTTACATTTCAGACATGATTATCAAGATCAGACTAACACTACTACCTCTGTTGTTTTCATCATGCATTTCAGACAAAGTTTGCATATAGGTGTTAAAAGACACTTTTCTTTCTTATTTTAAGCCATTAACAGTTTCAGAGAGGTAGCTGTGTTAGTCTGTAGCTGAAAAAAACAGTGAATAGTACTAAGGTGCTGCAGGACTTATTTGCAAGCTCTTTGAAACATGCAAATATCTACAAACCCTGAAGCCATGTGGTAATTTGTTTTGGAGCTTCTACTCTTCCTCCAGTGGAAGAAGGCTAATTGCCTACCTTTAGACAGACAGCACCTTTGTAAGTCACTAAGGGTACCTCACTGCAACTAATCACAGGTGTCTTGTTTTATTTCATTCCACATATATGGACTGCTTAAAATATATGTATACATATATTGCGTGTGTATATATGTATGTGTGTGTGTGTTGTTTGTATTGGTGGTGTACATTGACACTACAATATTGGTGGTGTATATAAGAAAATTCAACCCGCCCAAGGATAGAAAATGTTAAAGGGAAAACTGCTTTGCACCCACGGGGACTCGGTCTAGGGAGAGGAGCTGAGCAGTGGCTCGGCCCCTGAGGACGCCATGGACTGGACCCTGTGAAAATCCATCCCTTGCAGTACTGGACACTCTGGGGTCACCTACCCGCCCACCCCTGCCTTGCTGCGCCATGCCCAGCCTCCCTGCCCCTTCATTAGCTATGAAGGAAGACTGAAAAAATTGAGCTTGTTTAGTTAGGAAAGGAGAAGACTGAGAGGGGACATGATAGCAGTTTTCAAGTATCTAAAAGGGTATTACAAGGAGGAGGGAGAAAAATTGTTCTCCTTGGTCTCTGATGATGGGACAAGATGCAATGGGCTTAAATTGCATCAAGGGAGGTTTAGGTTGGGCATTAGGAAAAAACTTCCTGTCAGGGTGGTTAAACACTGGAATAAATTGCCTAGGGGAGTTGTAGAACCTCTATCACTGGAGATATTTAAGAGTAGATTGAATAGACATCTGTCAGGGATGATCTAGGGTCTAGGCTAGTGGTTCCCAAACTTTTTGGAATCATGCTCCCTTTTTGATTTTTGAGAAGCCCCCCCAGCAGCATGCCCCCCCGTTTGGAAACCCATGGTCTAGGTGGTGCTTGGTCCTGCAGTGAGAGCAGGGGACTGAACTTGAAGATCTCTCAAGGTCTCTTCCAGTTCTAGTATCTATGATTCTGATATTCCCTGAAACCCTCCCCACCCCGTGCCACCTTGACCCCAGCCTTATGTCCAGGGGCACCCTCTCCCTGAACCCTGTCAGATATTCTGCCCTCCAGCTTTAGCCCTACGCTCTCCCTGCCTCCATCTCCCTGCCCCTGGCCAGATACCCTATCTCCACTTCTACTTCCACTTTGCTCCTGTATCCATGGTTGCTTCTTGCACACTCCCTTGCTCCTGCTCACTCCCGCTGGCCAGACACCCTACTGCCAGCCTGTTTCTGCATCCTCCCTCCCAGACAGTCCCAGTCTCTGGCAGCCCTGTCCCGCACATTGAACCTCTCATTTTTGTTCCCACCCCAGAACCAAACAGGATCCATAAAATCCACTAACTCCAGAACCCCAGAAAAACAAATCTGGCCTATGGGAAGCCCTGAACATCAGTCTTCCCTGTCCCTTCCCTTCCCCCATGGGGCTGGAATGCCAGAGGAGTGAGGTGTCTCAGTTGGGGCCATATCAGTGAGGGTGGAGTTTTTTCAGGGAATTCTTTTGCTTCTCACTTGTGTGTTCCCCAACTGATTTTTCTGTGGGTCAGTAGCCCCTGACACACACAAATCTCCATATCTGCCATAAAGAAAGAAAACATTGAAACCTTTTGTTTTGGACATAAATTAATATTTTATTATTTTATTTTAAATGAAATTTGATAAACTAACATGAAAGAGATAAAATGCTCATTCTGTTTAATAATTTAAATCAAACCATTCTCCCTAGTTGCAGTGCTAGCAAAATGGCTTGGGCATAATTATGTAAGTAATGGTGAGTTTCCATTAACAGCTGGTGGTCCATGGAAAGGTTTATATTGAGCCAGGTGGTCCACAGGCCAAAAAGTTTGAGAATCTCTGCTTTAGGTCCAATGCTGGCATATTTCAGAGCAGGCTTAGACAGGCTGAAGAGGTGGGGCATCATTTTTAAATTTTGTGATTGTACCACAGTGGATTTCTTTTCTTATTTTACTTCCCAAGTATAACGTCTTTTATATTGGTTACTAAACAAATCTTTTAAGACACATTATGTGGGAGAGGAAAAATTGAAGCTGATTGACTGTGGCGAGACTGTTTGTCTAATGTTGTCTAGTCATGTGTTTGGACCAGCTTCCCTTCTCTCTACAAACATGGGCACAACTTCTCCCACACTTCCCCACCTATCTCCAAGGCCTGAGAAAAACATTGTCACTGTTCTCTCCCCTTTTCATTAATGTTTTTCGAGTATTACAGAAATGTGAGCTTTATTGTCAGCACTTCTGTCAGTCACAACTCAATTAAATCCACAGTGGGAGCAGTGGATTCCTATCACTTCTGAAAATCAGCCCCTAAAATCTCTTGATTCTCCTTACCTATTTAAGCAGCTTAATTTCCGTATCCACTGTAATAGCTGCCGTGCATGGCAAGAGATAATAAACCACACTACATTTAGCAGGAGAATTGTTAAATCAGTTATTCAGTTGTTGAATGGCCCACTTTTGGAGTGATTTGATATATTTATCTTTGCTAGGGTTTCAAAAGAGGTATTGCTGTTTACTGTGTTTAGTAAATATTTAGTGAGAGAAGTGTCAAGTGTCACTGCTGTTCTCCAAACATCCTGGAGTGCCATGTTGTTTCATTTCTATAGTAACATACTTCAATAATTTGATGTAAAGAGGGTAGAGTGATTGGAGTATTAATAATTGCATACGTTATGATCAATATATTGCTCTTGTTAAAGCAAATGGATGATTATGATACATTTTATAAAATGTATAGCTGTATATACAAGATTATATAAACGTTGCAGGTTAGCTTTTCAGCATGTATTTTTAGGTAATAGCTTGATAGTCCTGCTTGGTTGTTAAAGAAGTGTGTGAGTTTATAGTGATATACAAATGTTTGTATATATATTCAAAACACATTTAAATTTACTTACTATTTGATCCTCCTTCAGCATGGCCAGTTTGGACATTGAGCAAGTAATCACTCTTGGCTTAGCTCTTCTTCTTGCTGTGAAATACATCTTCTTTGAACAGACGGAGATGGAGTCCACACTCTCACTGAAGAACCCCATAACATCTCCCTTGATAGTTCATAAAAAGATTCCTGATAATTGCTGCAGAAAACAATCTGGACTTCTGAAAAATAGTCAGAAATCCCTCACAGTAGACGAGGCTTTATTTTCCAAAGAGAGAGAAGGTAATATAGATATTTAGGTACTTTGGGTACTGGGGCTGATCCTGCTGGGGCTATTTTGCAACTAAAAAACTTGAGTCTGCTTGAGATGTTTGTAATCTGCATTCCAATTTTAATTTGTTTTTATGCAGTTGAAATCATGAAACCTGTATTAGCAGAGCCATCAGCCAAGGCTACCTTTGTGGTTGGTAGTTGCATCCCTATGGTTACTTCTCTTCCTAACAGAAAAGAGCCTGAAATTGAATTGCCCAAAGAGCCACGCTCCACTGAAGAATGTTTAAGTATACTTGGAAATCCAGAGGTAAGAAATGAAAACTACAAGATTTCCGGTTCTACTCAGTAGTTCAAAACTAAAACATTATAAATATTTAAAAATGTCACAGTGAAACCATTATTTGTGAATGTTTTTTTGCTTTTACAATTTTTTCAGTTGCTTTTACAATTGAATATGTGTGTAAATAGTATGGTTACACTTTTAGTACACACCCATTGCAAAATACACTTCAGATATCATTTCTGGTCCAGTCAATTTCTGCTTTTCAGTTGTTTGTATATGTTATGATTCTAGAATGCATATGGCCAAAAATTCAGTTTTTGCCCATTATTTTTGAAAAAAATACTTGTTACTGTGTCCGCTCCCCACCCCACATTTTGTTATGGTAGCTTTCCTGCTCATGACGAGCTAGAGCATTAGTCCATACATCTGCTAAAGGTGGCTAGCTGGGAGCAACACAAGATGCTCCGTTTTCTTCACCCTCAGCTTTCAAGCTCTTTGAAATCTCTGAGATTGTGAGTCTACCACAGTATAGAAGTTCTGGATTCTGATTCCCCATGCGACGGTATTGTGCTTTCTCCAGACCAGTGGTTCTCAAACATTTAATGTTACTCCCTACCCCTCCTTAAAACCTGCCTGCGTTTCCCTTACAGGAGCTGAGGTGAGGAGCTGGGTGTAGAAGGAGAGGTGCGGATAGTGGTAAGGGGGCCAAGGCTGGTGTCAGAGCCAGGGGCCTAGTCTGGGGCTGGCCTGGGAGCACAGCCGTGGTCAAGGACTGGGAGTGGAGCCAGGAGCCTGGGCTTAGGCTGGGGACAGAGGTAGGGCCAAAGCAGGGCTGGGTGGCACTCCCCCTCCATCCTTTTTGTGGGGGGTAGTTCTCTTCTCCCCCCCCATCCTCCCTCAACCTTCTTGAATGTTCCTTTGCATCCCTAGGGACCACACTCCCCACAGTTTGGGGACTACTGCTACAGACCACCAGATTCCCCCCCACCTTTCCTCCCTCCCCCAAGAAAATTAGAGAAAATTCCATTTATGAACTTGTCCATACAGTAATTTGTTTTCTTTAGAAAGTTCTATACACAGAAACTCAGCTGGCATATATTACTTTCAATTGATCTGTGATAATTAATACTACCCAAGGATTTGCTCTGTGGTGTAAGAGTCTCTTTTCATCCTGAAAAAAAACAATGATACAGGCAGTCCCCGGGTTACGTACAAGATAGGGACTGTAGGTTTGTTCTTAAGTTGAATCTGTATGTAAGTTGGAACTGGCGTCCAGATTCAGCCGCTGCTGACACTGACCAGCGCTGACTACAGGAAGCCTGAGGCAGAGTTGCTCTGCCCTGGGCTTCCTCGAATCAGCCGCTGATCAGTTTCAACAGGCTGAATCTGGACGCCAGTTCCGACTTACATACAGATTCAACTTAAGAACCCCAGGCGTCCCCAAGTCAGCTGCTGCTGAAACTGATCAGCGGCTGATTCCAGGAAGCCCGGGGCTGGACTGTACCACCTCCAGTACCCATCGGTCTGTGGTGATGTTGGACCAACGATGGTAATATGATCTCAGATAATGGTGAAAGATGAAAAGTCTCGTTATCCACCCGCTGCTGAAACTGACCAGCAGCGGCTGAATCAGGATGCATGGGGCAGAGCAGCTGGGGTGCTGCCCGGTTGGTCCAGTAGCGCCCAGAGCAGCGCTGCGGGACTAACTGGCAGCGCCCCAGCTGCTCTACCACAGGCATCCAGAGAAAAGCCTGGTCTTCGAGGGGGGAGGGGAGGGTGTACTAGTTGCGCGCCCCCCCCCCAGCAGACCAGGGAGACGCGTGAGGCGGACCGAGACACACCACGGTCCCGTGTGCTCCGCGGCTTTGCTCCGCGTCTCCCTGGTCTGCTGGTCTCCAGCAGACCAGGGAGACGTGGAGCAAACCCCGTTTGTAACTGCGGCTCCAACATAAGTCGGATCCGCGTAACTCGGGGACTGCCTGTATTTTGTAACGGAAATTAAATTGTAATCTATACTCAACTCTTAGTTTGGTTAGGTATTGCAGGTTAATTGATGGTAAGCATGTACTTACAATATACTTACATTACAGTGAGTAAAAGCTTTAGAACAATGGATGTGTAAATACCAATGAATCAATTAACCAACTAAGTGGGATCCAGGGACTAGAGCTGCCACCACCAACAGGCTCCCAGCCCTGGGCTGCAAGCAGCAGGTTTCTGGCCCTGCTGTGGGCAGGGACCTGTAAGGTTGATAGTTACCAGGTAACCGGTTACTTGTTCACATCCCTACTTAGAACCCTGCAAATTTGCGGATATCCGCTTTATGTTTGTGGGTATCCGCATTGGAAATCTGCAGCTTATTTTTGCAGATAAAAAATGCTGTATCTGCGCTGGGCTCTAAAAAGCCTCACTCTGAATCTGAAAGCATTTATGAGTTTAAATTGTAGCTTGGGACTCTGGGTGAAGGTTGTTAGTTTCTTTAGCTTTTGATTTATATGTACTCATGATTGATACAGACCAAATTCATTTAGAATGATTTTCTTTATATGATGCAGTTTACTAACGTTGATAATGAAGAAAATTCTGTAGATGTGATTTGCAGAAGTAAAGAGGATGGTAACCTTAGTAATACTGGAAACATTAAAATGTATAGTGCAGCTTGTGTAAACACAACTTTATTTTTCTTAAATTTTCTAGAAAGGTGCAAAATTCCTTACTGATGCAGAAGTCAGGATATTTTCTTTATATGATGCAGTTTACTAACGTTGATAATGAAGAAAATTCTGTAGATGTGATTTGCAGAAGTAAAGAGGATGGTAACCTTAGTAATACTGGAAACATTAAAATGTATAGTGCAGCTTGTGTAAACACAACTTTATTTTTCTTAAATTTTCTAGAAAGGTGCAAAATTCCTTACTGATGCAGAAGTCAGGATTCTAGTCAATGCTAAGCACCTTCCTGCTTACAAAGGAAACTTTGATGGAAACTCAGGAACGTGGTGTATCTATTCGCAGGCAGATGTTATCTCAGAAGCTCCCTGAACCTTCATCCCTGCATTATCTTCCTTACAGGCATTACAATTATTCTTTAGTAAGTATAATGGAGACAAACCACGAGCAAATTAATTTTTTAAATTTTAAGGTGATTCCTTTTTTGTGTTTTCCCAAAAGTCTTCTCAAAATCATAATTTGTGTACACCACTTCCAAGGAATTAAGACACATCTGTCAACTATAGTTTCAGTCTGTTTTCATACAAACACTGTATGGATATTTTTTCAGTTCCTGTCTGAAAGTTCTTATCTGCATAAGTATTGAGTACTTAATATTTTGAAGCATGATCAAAAAGGACAATTATTTATTAATGACATATGTATTGCTGTATGCAGTTCCCTAATCTCAGTATAGGGCTTTTGTAATACCTTGGATGAGTTTACTGGGATGAGTAGAAACATAATAAAAAGAAAGTTATTCAAATTCCAGATTGTTACTTTTAATAGAGTTTTCAGCTAGTACACTAACTCTCCTAAGAGATGAAAGCACATAGTATTCACTAATATAAATAATTCCTTCTGCAGTTTTATCTGTTACTATACATTACTTCAATGATAAACACTTCAGTGAATTTCAGATTACATTCAAGCTTTGCTAAACACTTCCAACTTTCTGTACAATATTGCTGTGTAAGAATGTTGCAATTTATGGATTAGCTGGTTGATAAAGTAGGTTAATTTTGATTTCTTATATTTGATGACTATTTGTTATCAGTTACTTAGCATGCTACTGCAGTGCCATATCCTTAATGATTGTTGACTCTAACATTTTTAAAGGTAATGGGAGCTTGCTGTGAAAATGTGATTGGCTACATGCCCATTCCTGTAGGTGTCGCTGGGCCACTTTTCCTGGATAGCAAAGAGTTTCAGGTTCCAATGGCAACAACGGAAGGCTGTCTCGTAGCAAGCACAAACAGAGGGTGCAGAGCAATATGTGTAAGTAAAATTCAGTCTTAGATGGTTAGATCCTTTCCTTGCTTAAGAGCCAATCACTTAACACAAAGTGAATTATGTAAGATGGATTCTATTTCATTAAAGTTTTTAAAAATTGCCATTAATTCCCAGGAATCTTATTTATTTACCCCTTTGGTCTTAGCTTGGTGGAGGAGCAAATAGCCGTATTCTAGCAGATGGGATGACTCGAGGACCTGTTGTAAGATTACCGTCTGCCTGCCGGTCTGCAGAAGTGAAGGCTTGGCTTGAAAACTCAAAAGGGTTTAAAATAATCAAAGATGCGTTTGACAGTACAAGTAGGTTAGTAACATGAATTTCTGTAACGCGTTTACTTACGTACATCTACACTAAAATACAGAAATCTTCCAGCTTTAGGTGTATTATGATGCAATAAATATGCTAGATTCAGAGATCTAACATAACATTGATCTAAGTAACCAGTAACATTTTTCATGTCCAATATCTGGTTAATCATTAGGGCTATAAACAAATATTATATCCCCATGGAAAATAAGGAATTCTATCACAACAAGAAAAAGGAAGTTAAAATCATATTATTCTGATTACCATTGATAATTCTCACCTCCAAAACCACACACATCACTTCTGACTTGACTTTTGTAGTCGATATCCTACACATGTAGAATTAAAATCAATGTTGTACATCACCTGAGAGCTTGGAATCTAATCTTTCAAATTATAAATGTGTTCTTCTCTAATTCTAGGGCTAAAGAGAATATTGATCTCTAACACCAGAACTGACAGGGTGGGGAGAAGTATAAAAAGTAACATGATTTTAAGCAAGAGTGCCATGCTTTCTTTTATCCCCATCTCTCCCTAATAGTTGTTGTTGCATATTATCTCTGAAAAATCAAAGTCATGTTCCACAAAAGCATGTGGAGGTCAGCAGTACACAGAGGCATGTTTCAGCAAGGCTTGATGCCATGGTGTAGAATCATCTTTGCTTCTATTTGAATAATGTGTAGTACCTTCAAGTTTGTGCTTAGCTATAGCATTGGTCTTATGGGACCTGCCCTAACTGTCACTGCTTTAGACACCGTGTCTCTATATAACAGACTTAAGAATTGCTAAAACAAACAGAACTATGTAGCACTTTAAAGACTAACAAGATGGTTTATTAGGTGATGAGCTTTCATGGGCCAGACCCATTTTCTCAGATCAAATTGTGGAAGAAGACTGGCACAACCATATATACCGAAGTGATACAATCAAAAAAAGAACACATTTCTTCCACAAATTGATCTGCGGCAGTGGGTCTGGCCCATCTGGTTAGTCTTTAAAGTGCTACATAGTTCTGTCTTTTGTTTCAGCTAGACCAGACTAACACGGCTGCATCTCTATCACTATTAAGAATTGCTAGATTGCTTAGTAGTTAATATTCATTAACCCAGAATTTTTTTTTGTTGGGGATTGTTTGAAATTAGATAACTATAACACAAAGGTTCTGCATTTCACAAGTTGCAGGGTTAGAGAAATTAAGGAAACCAGGACAAATATTTTCAGGAGTAGTAAATGTTCTTCACATTTGTTTTGGATCAGCAGTCAGAGGACTTTGTCTGGTAATAGGTGCTGATTTAGTTTTGAGCATAGAGCAGGAGGGGGAGCATCCGTTGTGCCTGCTACCTAGCAGGATTATCCAGACTAAAGGCTTACTGTCATATATACAGCTGAAAAGCAGTCTATAGTCTTTAGCAAGATAAGGAAGAGAAAAGGAGTTTGAAAGTAATCAGTTGATTTTCTTTTATTTATAGGTTTGCTCGTTTGCAAAAGCTTCTCATCAGTCTCGCTGGTCGTAACCTTTATATCCGTTTTCAGTCTGAAACGGGGGATGCAATGGGAATGAACATGATCTCAAAAGTAAGGCCCCATCTTTTTGTTTAGCATTTTAAAAAGCTAGTTAAAGAATGCCATTAAAATAATTTTGAGTTAGGTTGTCCTATCTTACATGACCTTACAGAGAATGTAAATAAGAAAACAGACACAGGACTCTCTGCCCACTTCCTCCCTCCTTCTTCTCCCCATCTCTTTTTCTGGGGCTTGTATAAAGGCCATCCAGAATCAGAGTCCTGTGTTTGGGTTCATGGTGCTTTTCAGGATTAAAATTTACTTTTTCCATGAAGTACTTAAATATGAAATAGGCAGAGCAGGCTTACAAGAATGAGAAATTAAAATGATTATTAATCGTATTTCCACTTAATTCTTATTAACTATCTTCCAATGTGAACTTGCATTTTTACTGGGAATGTTAACAAACCTGATTTTTGTAAACATGTAACTGCTGAATTTTTTTTGAAATTACACATTTACATGGAGGGGGGAGAGGTGGGAGCTGATGCTTGTAGAGAGCCAGCTTTTAAGCCAACTCCTCCTGAGCACTGTCTCTCACCTCCCCCACCTTCGCTCCCCAGTGCTGCTGCCTCTGATACAAAAGGGGGGGGGGGGGAGCCAGTACATGGTGGGAGCCAGGCTGGCTTCCCACGAGCACTGCCTTCTCTCTCCCCGCCCTGCGTCTGATACAGAGGCAGCAAGGGGAGTGGGGTGTAACCATTAGGATTAACCAGTGACCTCAGGTTTATCGGTTAATCCTGTAAACAGGTACACACTAACATGCTTAATTTTTACCTTTGCTTTATTTACCTTAGGCAGTTTACCTAGGACAGGCAGTGTCTCTTGCTAGTGATATAAAATAAGTGTAATGATTTAGCTTTGTGGTCTTGATCATAATAAAGAGTAATACTTACACAGTGAAAATGGGAGGGTTAAAATGACTATACAGGCAGTCCCCGGTTTACGTACAAGATAGGGACTGTAGGTTTGTTCTTAAGTTGAATCTATATGTAAGTCAGAACTGGCATCCAGATTCAGCCGCTGCTGATCAGTTTCAGCAGTAGCTGAATCAGGACACCTGGGGCAGAGCAGCTGGGGTGCTGCTGGGTTGGTCCAGTAGCGCCGAGGAGCAGCGGCGCTACTGGACCAACCCAGCAGCACCCCAGCTGCTCTGCCCCAGGAGTCCTGATTCAGCCGCTGCTGATCAGTTTCAGCAGTAGCTGAATCAGGACACCTGGGGCAGAGCAGCTGGGGTGCTGCTGGGTTGGTCCAGTAGCGCCGAGGAGCAGCGGCGCTACTGGACCAACCCAGCAGCACCCCAGCTGCTCTGCCCCAGGAGTCCTGATTCAGCCGCTGCTGATCAGTTTCAGCAGTAGCTGAATCAGGACACCTGGGGCAGAGCAGCTGGGGTGCTGCTGGGTTGGTCCAGTAGCGCCGAGGAGCAGCGGCGCTACTGGACCAACCCAGCAGCACCCCAGCTGCTCTGCCCCAGGAGTCCTGATTCAGCCGCTGCTGATCAGTTTCAGCAGTAGCTGAATCAGGACACCTGGGGCAGAGCAGCTGGGGTGCTGCTGGGTTGGTCCAGTAGCGCCGAGGAGCAGCGGCGCTACTGGACCAACCCAGCAGCACCCCAGCTGCTCTGCCCCAGGTGTCCTGATTCAGCTACTGCTGAAACTGATCAGTGGCTGATTCCAGGAAGCCCCGGGGCAGGGGCTTCCTGTAGTCAGCCGCTGGGCAGTTTCAGCAGCGGCTGAATCTGGATGCCAGTTCTGACTTACATATAGATTCAACTTAAGAACAAACCTACAGTCCCTATCTTGTACGTAAACCGGGGACTGCCTGTATAAATAAACCTGCCTTTTTTGTGCATGGAAGCAATGCAATTCAGGCTCTACTCCTTCACCCAGCTCATAATGAAGAGAAGAATTGATCCCAGAGTATTAAGATCCATGTTGTATGCAGACTTTGCTAAGTGCTAGTTCTTTCTGGTCCTGTGTAGCCACTCTGGAGAATTAGAGGAGGCGTGGATTCTACATACCTGTGCAACCATGTAGGATCTCTCCAGGATGAGACACCATGCATGGTGGGGAGGAGCAACAGCTTGTGAATCCATTGTTTCCCCTATGAACAAAAGAGTGAGATGGGGCAGAGCAATGCCTATATTATCCCTATCCACTAGCCCCCCTCACCCAAAAAGGGAGTAGAGGTTCCTTTGTGAGGAATAATTCCTTCCCATTGCTGCTTCCGGGATAGCACAGCTATATGCCTTCCCTTGCAAAGGGGCTGAGCCTAAAGGTTCAGTCTAGCCCTGCTGTCTTTACTGTCTCCATAATGGTTAGTAAAGTATTAGTTAAGTTATCCAGTGTTTTATAATGCAACCCTCATGAGTTTCGCTTCATTTACATCTGCTTCTGTCAGGGTACTGAAAAAGCACTTGCAAGACTGCAAGAAGAGTTTCCTGATCTCCAAGTTCTAGCTATTAGTGGTAACTATTGTACAGACAAAAAGCCCGCTGCCATAAATTGGATAGAAGGAAGGGGGAAGTCTGTGGTCTGTGAAGCAGTCATTCCAGCCAAAGTAGTCAGAGAAGTAAGTACCATTTTGATTCATCTTGAAAAAGGAAAAAAAAAAAAACATTTTTTTCTAATCAAACTAATCATTTTATGAAAATGTAACTTGAAATTGAGATTTATAAGTCATACATAACATTCATTCTTCACTTTGAGCATTATTGTAGGATCATGGAAGTTGTAGATAAAAATGACTTACTAGCAGAAGATTTTCATTCAGTATACTTTAGTGCTCTGTAATTTTAAACATCTGAAGTGGTGGGTCTTCCACACATTCTTTTGAAAGACTATTCCACAGTCTAATAGATCTAATTTGTTTACCTGATATTCAGATCAGTTTTAATAATATTTATAATTAGTACCCTGGAATAATCTGCAGCAGTTGGCCTGAGTTCTGCTACATGCCAAAGTGCATAAGACTGGAAATTATTTGGGACTTGCATGTGAAAGGCTTTTATTGAATTAAACATGCAAATGAATAATACAGTCAGTAGTATTTCTTCTGACTTAATTTGTAGACTTAATGTGTAGACTTTTAATTTTTAGTTTTACTGCACAATTTTGTATTAAAAATGTGTAACTGCACTGTAGAAGTCATTGGGGAAACTGGAGGTTGTGACAAGCTAGGATGGAGACAATTGAGGGTTTTTGCTATCTGGAGTTAACATCAACCTGCCTCAGTCTAAGGTATCATAGTTGTAGTATATTGGTATGGGGTTACACATTTGCTCTGGGTTAGAGGGGACCAACCCGTCTCCGTACAAGCAGTCACTAGCCCCTGCGCTGGTTGGAGCCGGTCAAACCCAGAGTTACTGGGGTCAGCCTGGCTGCAGGCAGAGCAGGTAAATAGTCCAGCTCAGGCCCTGGTTCAGGGGGGTAGAGTCAGTGGACTTGGCCTGGCTGCAGGCAGACCAACAAACAAGAAGTTGGTAGCTGACCTCTACCAAGGGGAAAGCTGCCATCCAGGAAGGGCTGGTGGCAGAGGGGGTGCAGGCCCACCTATTCTGCTGCATTACTGCTCAATGCCCTATGGTAGTAGCCTTTCTGCCACCAAGTCAGCGGGGAATCCACACTAAACACACTGACTCACTCCAACTATCTCTGGGCCACACTATACTCCCCCTCCAGGTGAACCTGGAGTATCTGGGATCAGTTGCCCCACACTGCTTCTTGGTGTCAATGTCAGACAGTGGTCTGGGCCAATCATCTCCCACCTCTAGACTCACTCAGTCTTCTAGCCCAAGGAACCAGGAGGAACATCAGTCTCCTAGCAGCTGGGCCGCAACAGAGCTCCCAGTTCCAGCGTTTAAACTTCAGACCTACCCTTCTGTTTCCATAGAGGCAGAGCAAGACTGATCTGGCTCTGCCCCCCAGGGTACATTAAGTGGTCTTCCCCTTCTAGTTTGGGATGGTGGGGAGACACTCAACCGCCTCACTACAATAGTTCTTTAATAGGCTGTTTCTACAAAAGTATTTTTATATTGTCATCACTTAAGTTTTTAAAATTTAATGTCAACATTCCATTGAAATAAATGAGGCGGTTCACCTGATCTTTTAGAAGTATTTGTTTCAGGCTATCTCCAAACTCAAGTAAATGTCTGCATTGCAGACTCAGGCAAATATTTGTGCAATGAACTGCATTTCGTTCATGATTTGGAAAGTTTTAGCAACTTTTAAGAGCTTAATTTTTTAAATGAAAATCTGCATTTTAAAGAACTGTCTTGAGGCAAGTTCCTCAGAATTGTAGTGTAAGTGCTAATACTATACAACATGGGAGATTAATACCCTGTCTAATGAGAAATACACTAAAAGCATATGGCTTTGTCTAGGTATTGAAGACTACTACAGAAGCTATGGTTGAGGTTAACATAAACAAAAACTTGGTGGGCTCTGCAATGGCTGGTAGCATAGGTGGCTATAACGCTCACGCAGCAAACATTGTCACAGCTATCTACATCGCTTGTGGACAGGTAAGTTCAGCTAATTCACAGCACTGTTGGGTTTTGTTTTTATATATACATGTTTTTAAAGATAATAGAACTAAATATTTTTATACTGATTATAAGGATGCAGCACAGAATGTAGGCAGCTCTAACTGCATCACTCTGATGGAGTCAACTGGTCCCACAAATGAAGATCTGTATATCAGCTGCACAATGCCCTCTATAGAAATTGGAACAGTTGGTGGAGGGACCAATTTGCTACCACAGCAAGCTTGTTTGCAGGTAAAAAGCATCAAAGAAAATTAAAATAACTTCCTTTAAAACCAAAACTCCTTCTGCTTCTCTTATAGACTGTGTGTCTAAGTAATACAAGTGTTTTTCAAACTTGAGTAAGCTTTCAGATATGGCTAACTAGACAGTTCTAAACAGTATCCATGCATTTTAATTTTGATGCTAAATGCTACTTTTTAATGTCTGAGAGACTTAAAAGCTGGTTTGTTTTACATAATTTAGTAAGGACTATTAAATAATTCTAAGTGAACACAAGTGTATCTTTACCAGTGCTTGGTTTTAAAGTGTAATGTAGCATATTTTTGCTTACAGATGCTAGGGGTCCAGGGTGCAAGCCAAGACAATCCTGGAGAAAATGCACGTCAGCTTGCTAAAATTGTATGTGCTACAGTAATGGCAGGGGAATTATCATTAATGGCAGCACTGGCAGCTGGACATCTAGTCAAAAGCCATATGATTCACAATAGGTAAGAAATGCAAAGCTTAGTATTAGTCTCTGCTTCTTCCTCTGCCCCACATACAGCACAATATGTAACAATGATACATGAAACAGTTAAACCATTTGGGGTCAGCACTGTTTTTTTTATCTTAATATTTTTGGTAGGTCAAAAATAAATCTACAAGATCTTCAAGGAACCTGCACCAAGAAAGCAGCTTGAAAAAAGTAGTGTTGAAGTGAACCATTGGCATAGCAAGTGATCAGAAGTAAAGAATAATATATATTTATGAATTTTACAAGCAATCTTCGGTACAAAGATTTTTGTGGAAGATAATGGAGAAGATCCAACAGACTTGTGATCAATGAAAATCCTCCTTATGACTTTCTTCTGCAGTTAAACATTACTACTTTTATGGAAATCCCACCTGTATTGAACAAGGTTGTAGAGTTTTTGGAATCTCTCTTAGTTTATGCATGTTCTTCTGAAGAGTCAGCTTTGTCATTAAGGATCCAGAGGTTTTTTGACTAGTGAACTCCTAATGATGACTGAGATGGAAAACAAGTTCTGTAGTGTAATTGTATGTTTAAAAAATGATTTGGTTAAAATTGGCTTGTATGTAATTTGTGATTTTTGTTTTCTGGTTTAAAAAAAGTAGGTTTTAAATATAAAGTGATAGCAGCAGTCTTAGTGCATCCATGAACTCCTGATTTTAATTTTGTTGGTTCAAGTTTTAAGCTTAGGTCTTAGGTTATGAGAATTGTATTGAGTCTCTCATTAATTTGTAGAAACACTGATCTATTTATAGTACTTCACTTGATGCTGTTCCTTTAACTATTAGTTCCTTAAACTGACTTAAATCATTTTTCCTTTCAAGAAGATCTATTGCTACAAAGTGAAGAAATGTTTGCAATTCTTTAATAGAGGTATGAAACCACTACAATTCAACTGGTTGGGCATTTTGTTCAGATAAAAGTAACGTATCATGGCTTTTTAAAACTTTCATGATACAGGTACAAAAATGACTACACATCAACTGGTTTAGAGCTTTGATGACATTAAAACCATTTTTACATAACTTTTTCTGTAAATAGGAAAGGATTCAAATGAAGCAAATGAAGAACATATGTTTACACTTTTAAAATCTTATCTTTTTAAAGTGAAGTTTGTGTACACATTAATAATTTTTGGTGTTTGACACCACTTCTCCGGAGGATAGGCGTTTGGCCTCTGCTTAACTTGAGATGAAATAAAGCCAGAAAAATCATGTGTCTTTAATGTTGCAGTTGTTTTTATGTTTTTTAAATGTGTTTCTTTGTGAAAAAACTAATTTATTTTCTGAAAAATCCAACTTTCTTTTGTTATGAAAACTTACAAGAGCCATTGAAATGTTACTAGAAAAAATAATACAATAAATGGAGCTGTCCATTAAATACTGTATTTGGACCCATAAGGTAATACAGTTTTTTTTTAACATTATGCAGGAAACATTTGGTAGGTCTATTTTGGTTTGATTTGCTACTGAGGAAAAAAGTATCAGTGGCTATTCGCAATAGTTATCCTGACCAGTCATTGAAGGAAAACTATAAGTGGATTTGAACATCCCTTTTTATTAGAAGGATGGTGTCAGCAGTTCAGGCTTTTTATGGGGATACCCAGGCATTCCAGGGGCATGGGAGTGAAAGAGAGGGAATGCTGTTCTCCTTATGTGTCAACTTAGTATAACTTGAGGGATTTGTTTTGTGGAACATCAATTCTAATATTAATTGTGTAGATCTCATAAAGCTAACATGCAAGCCTGAAGACATACTACATGCTAGGTATGATGTGGTAGCATGTAAATTATCATGAATGTTTATCTTTCTGCAGTATTGTTATTAATCGTTTTTCTTATTTATGCAGAGTTGAAACTGCTTTGTTTCTGTGTTAAACCAGTGATTTATTGTTTAAAGTAACACTGAGCTGGCAATAAATGGTGGTTCGGTGTTTATTTTGGTGAATGTAACTGACATTCTGTCTTGCAGAATTAACATTTTGTACTGTTACTAAATTGTGTACATTTTTGTACAGAAAACTTTTTTCAGTTTCAGTAAAACAATGGAAAAGCATTTTGGCTTAATTGTGATATGTTTAAGAACTAGGGTGCTGTGCTCCATGCTTGCTACACTTGCCAACCCCTCTCTCTCTGGCTGAGCCTGATGGTATCATAGTACTTGTTTTATACATAGACAGAGATAAGTGACTAAAAAATATTAAACACATTTCTGGGATTGTTCACATACTGTCCTTTGGTGGTATGGAGAATACTTGCGGAATTGCAAGTACTTAATACTGTAGCTGAGTGTAACACTTTTCATTGAGGCCGATCTTGGACACTTAGCACTTTTCAAAAAAGAAGACTTTTTGTCTAGCATTTGGCACATGGGTAGGGGTGTGCTCAAACAGAAATTTTTTGCAAAGTCTTTGATGGTCATCTAAGAGAGATGTGTGACCCTAGACACAAAAATGCACTTTTGCACTCTGGCTAGAACTTTTAAGAGCAGGTTAGACAAACACCTGTCATGGATGGTTTACACCTGGGGTCTCAAACTCGCAGCCCATGGGCCAGGGCCTGCCGGAGTGATTGCACAATCCAGGTTGTGGAGGGCCTGTCTGTTACTAGCCCCCAAGCCTGGCCAATCCTGCCATTGTCCTGGCAATTACCTCCACCAGCAGCAGTCACACCCCCTCAGCACTCCCTGTGGCATCAGGAGCTGTAGGGGAAGTGGAGCAAGTGCACCCACCCAGTATGCTCCACTTCCCCATAGCACCTGATGCCATGGGAAGCTCCGAGAGGAGGGGTTGGAACTGCTGTCATCATGCACATCAGGCACCCTGTGATCCTCACAGCCATGTACTCTGAGGACAGTGTGCCATGGAGGAAGGAGCGGGGGTTGGATGTGTTAATGGACTGCCCCTCACATAAGTCTGGAGCTGGTTTGCGCAATCACTTATTTAGGGTTGGTCTGTAGGTGGGGAGTTTGAGACCCTTACTCCATCCTATGGAAGTGATGTTTCAGAATGAAGCATTTGGAGGGTAGAGAGAGACATATCCCAGCTCCTTCAAAACAATCTGATGGCCATGTGGAATGTCACTTGGGTTGATCTGAGGCTTTGTTTTGTCATGTAGTCAGTCAAAACCCAGCTCCTTATGCAAGCCCTAGCTACAGTATAGAAGAGGGACAGAGGTGTGACATTGGTACCATACTGTGGAAGATGAAATCTTTGGGTTATGTAGTGGTTCATTTAGAACAGTGGTTCCCAAACTTTTTGGCATCACAACCCCTTTTTGATTTTTGAGAAACCCTCACATGCTCTCCCTCCCACCCCCCTTTTCCATAGCAGCAAAACTTGTTGAGCAAAAAAAATTTCCGTTTTGAAGTCTGCCTGGGACACTCCATCCTCCCCCAGCCCCAGCCAGCCTGAGCTCTTTCTGCAGTTTCTATCCGCTCCTTCAAAACAGGATGAGCAGCCTGGGGCTGGGACACAGACTCATATGGGGCCAGCCATGGGTAGGGTGACCATATGTCCCGATTTTAAATACTCTGACTTGGTGCCCCATCAAGTAGTGAAATGTCCCGGAAAGCCCTGCTGGATATTTCACTACTTGATAAAGACACTGGCGTGGCACGGCAGTCTCCTCCTCTCCCCCGCAGCAGGGCGCATAGGGAAGCTGGGCCAGCTTCTGGTGGCACATGGCCCATCCCTCTCTCCCTCCCCCGTGGGACTGCCTCTGCTGCATGGGGTCCTGGTTTGGTGGCACCACCTCCTTATCCTTTGGGCTGCTTTGGAGACCGGCAGTTGCTTTTGCGCAAAATCTTGCCACCTGTTTACACTGGCCGTATTTGCGCAAGAACACTGAGTTTGTACTGTACAAAATCAGTGGTTCTTGCACAAATATTCTGACGCTCCCGCTCAGGGATAAGCCTTCTTGCTCAAGAGGGCCAGTGTAGACAGCCAAGTTAATTTCTTGTGCAAGAAAGCCCGATGGCTAAAATGGCCACCGCAGTTTTCTTGTGCAAGAGAGCGTCTACACTGGCACTGATGCTTTTGCACAGAAGCAAATCTTTTGCGCAAAGGTACATGCCAGTATAGATGCTCTCTTGCGCAAATATTTTTAACGGAAACAGCTGAGGTGTATTCCAGTTGGGCAGTCTCGCTGGGATGGGCCTTGTGCTGCTGCTGCTTGACTCCAACTGGAGCCGGCAGTCTGCAGCACTAAAAATAGCACCACGGGGGGCCTCTGCTGCAGTCCCAGCATGCAGTCCTGCCCCGGGAGCGGCTGGAGCTGTGGGGGCTTCTAGGGCCAGACCACAGGCTCCAGCCCTGCAAACTGCTTTCTGGAAGGCATAAGGTGAGGGAAGGGGCTGGGGGAGAAATAAGAGGAAGGGGCTTGTGTTGAGGGAAGAGGTGGGGGGCCAAGGCAGGAGAAAAAAGGGGAAGGCACCAAGCAGCAGGACCTGCCCCGGGAGCGGCTGGAGCTGTGGGGGCTTCTAGGGCCAGACCACAGGCTCCAGCCCTGCAAACTGCTTTCTGGAAGGCATAAGGTGAGGGAAGGGGCTGGGGGAGAAATAAGAGGAAGGGGCTTGTGTTGAGGGAAGAGGTGGGGGGCCAAGGCAGGAGAAAAAAGGGGAAGGCACCAAGCAGCAGGATGGAGGAGAGAGAAATGCTAGGGGGCCAAGAGGAGACAGGAGGGGAGAAGTCAGTAGGGGTGGGAGACGAGAGGGGAGAGACAATGGGGGCAAGAGGAAGGAAGAGGAGAGGGGAGGAGTGTGTGCCTGGAGAAGAGGCATTGAAAGGAGGGGTGGGCATAAGGAAGGCAGGGGATGGAGCAAGTCATGTGTGAGGGCACAGAGGGGCATGAAGAGAACTGAGTCAGAGAGTGGTGAGGGGGTGGGCACCAGGGAGGGACAGGGGAAGGGGGAGGTACCATGAAAGCGCAGAGGTAAGGGAAGATGCAGGTGCCAGGGGATTGTGGGAGTGAAGCAGAAAGGCAGACACGGGGAGGGGAAGGACGGACACCAGAGGAGAGAGGAAGGGCAGGGGGGTAGAGGAAGGTGTTAGGAGAGGGGATGGGGAGGGGTAGCTATGGATGATCAGAGTGGGGCTAGAGGAGGAGTGGACACAGGGCTGGTGCAGGAGAAGGGGGGTAGGTCCCCAAAGGGCTGAGGGGAGTGAGAAGGGCAAGAGCTAGGACAGCAGAGGAGGGTGAGGGGTGGAGGGCAGCAGGCACCAGGGGAATAAGTGGGGCGAAGGGAGGGTGGGAGACATGTTAGCGGAGGGAAAAGGGAGAGGTTTACAAGATATTTAATAATAACTCGGTTGCCGCAGTGGCAGATATAGGGCAGGGCGAGTGGGGCAGCTGCCCCAGGCCCTGTGCTTCAAGAAGCCCTGCGCATGCGCCATGGCACCACGGCGCATGTGCTGTGTCAAAGGGGGGGGCCCGTCAAATTGTGCTGCCCTGGGCCCCGCAAAATCCTCATCCACCCTTGCACATGGGAACAAGCGCCCATGAACTCAATACTGATGCACAAGACAAAATTCACTCTGCTTGTGGGAGGAAAATCTGAGCGGGAACAGTCCCTCAGCCTCTCCCCTCGCGCTAATGCAATGCAAGTGAATGCTCTTGCAGTACAGTTGCATGCGGGGGCCAGACCCATCGCTACTGGGAGGACAGGGGAGAGCTCTTAGCGGGGTCACAGAGCCCCCTTCGCGTCTGCTCGCGTGGCCGTCGGGCCGGGCCGTACTACCTGGAGGGGTGGGACGTCTCGTGCGACGGGATGGGGCGAATGGGGCTCGGGGGCGTGGCTGACGTGGCCCTAACTTTGGTTCAGAAACGATGGGCCCCACAGTGCTGGGCCCCGGGCCCTGGCTGCGTGGCGGCTGCAGTAAGGACCGTTCCCTCGCGCGCCTGCCCGCCCGTTGGGCGCCATTTCTGACGCGTGACTCTTACCCCAGAACGTTCTTCCCCCTCTCGCTAAGGAGCTGGG